TATTTGACAAAGGCTTGGTTTATCGAGCTGCTGGTGCATCCACTGTCGATTAGGGCTGTTACCGAATGCCTTGATCGATTGGTTAGAGTCTCGATCTGGGCCTTGGTTGTCAAGTCTTGCCCAGGGGTTTTAGCGCACCTGATGAACTTGCAGGCCCCTTTTAGTTCGTCCAGCCATTCGAGGGCCCTGCTTCATTCAGCGTTTTTCAACCCTGTTATGACTTCGTTGGTGGCTTCTTCTAGTCAGGTCTTGTGTACCCATCTCTTTAGTGCAGCCCCTGCTGCACTGTCATCGGCTGCTTCTTTGATTGCTCTCCAGGTCTATTCAGTGTTAAATAGTTTGAGCCATTTCAGAGGGCTCTCTGTCCCTCTTTGGCCCATGGGCATTTGAGCTTTGTTTTGCGATTCATTGGTGTGTGCAGTAATGGCTTGTGGTATATTCGAATGTGTATTTAATGGCATAGGCATAACTACAGAGGCACTGTAAGTCTGTTCAACAGCTGAGACAGGCACACCATGAAGTTCATTGGCCGACCCAGTGGAATCATTCACTGGCCAGCCCCATCTTTTACTTCCTCAATCTTCATCTCCTTGCCAAGTTCCTCGTCTTCTTTTTGTAACTTGGTGATCTGTGCTTGTATGTCTTCGTGGGTTCTTTTCCTTTTTGGGCAATCCTTTGCCATGTGGCCTTTCTGTCCACAGTTAAAGCACTTCCCTTCTTTCTTCATCCTATCTATGTCCATTGGCTTTCCCATTCTGGTATATATAGTGCTGGTCCTGGTCTTTTAGCTTCCATAGGTCAATGCCATTGAGGATCCTGATGGTTTCCTGGCAGTTTGCCCTGACTTGTTTGGGATTGACAGAGTCGACTTCTTGGTGTAGTCCTGCAACATGGATGACTCTGCTTTCTGCCTTTGCCGCTCTTTGTACATCTTGATGATCCTTTCTTTCTATTGTTCGTATCCCACTGGCATCAACATTTTGACGCCTATGGCAGAGATCATCGTGAGGTAGGAAGAGGAGACTCCTCTCTTGAGGGCCTCGACCATTCGCCTGTCATTTGCTATGTTGTCTCTGATACCCGCTAGCTTTGCAAGTCTTTCCAACTCATCGAAGTAGTCAGTGGCTGCCTTATCTCCCATTTTATACTCTTTGATTTTTTATTTATGTACTTCCTGTACCGCCAGATCGATGAACTTGTTGTTGAGCATCTGTTTGAAAACTGGCCAGGACAGGTACCGGTAATATTCCCATGTGTTTGATCGGAAGTTTGGTGAGATTAAAATCCACCATGTTTTGGCCTTCTCTTCCAAATAAGATGTGGCAAAGACGACTTTGTTCATATCCGTTTCTAGATACCCAATGTAGACTTCAAAATACTGTTCACAGTCCACTAGGAATCTATCAATGTCATCAGAAGCCCCTTTGAAGGGTCGAGGCTTTTGGAGGAGATCAGAGTGGCATTGGAGGATATGGGCGTTTTCAGGGAGCGCGCTCATTGGATTGGGCCAGCTGTCGAATGGTGGTTGTCGCCATTCTGCCGGTGGCCCAGGGAATAAGTGAAGGGAGTGGTCATCTGCTATCGGACTACCCTTTTGTTCTTCGACACAGACGATGACCCCATCTCAGATCATGAACCTGAGTTGAGTGGTCTCAGGGTCATCTCGTATGGGTTCTTTTCCTGTGCCACTACCTTCTGCCTGGTCAGGGAATGGTTGTCCCCCCAAGAGTCGGCTTCTTCAGCCAGTCCACAGGTTATTGTATTCAGCTCTTGGCCGAACTCAGGTTTTGACCAGCCATGATGCCATTCGTAAGGAGGATTGGTCGGCACTTAAAAGTGTGTTACAGACTGAGGGGGTTTGATATCCGGTTTTTAGCAGCATGGTGGGTGGGGTTCTCGGCATTGGTTGAATGATTGAGGTAGTCTGATAAGCCGGAGGCCAGCTTATTGGGTATTCCAGGTGCCGTTGGCTGTATAGCCAGGCAGCATAATTCATGGCTGTCCATCTCAGAATTTCTGTTTGTTTATCAGTCTTGGAATGTGAATATAATTGTCCAATTTCTGATGCTGCCCATGCAGCATTGTGCCATAAGAAATTTACCCCTTACAGGTAATATCTCTGATATTCCCATGTCCTTTTCTCTTGTATCAACTTTTTCAGTTCTTCTTCATCAGTCTCTTCCTGCGAATCATATGGGGGTCCCCTGGGTGGCCCACTGCTTTCAGTTTCTTCTTTCTCATCCTTGTTGTCCTCTTTGAGGAGAGAATCGATGGGCTGGATGTAGATACTCTCTATGCTCTCTTGCAGGATCGTTGCTTCGCTCCTCTGGCTGGGTACTCGGCCCAGCGGTTGCAGTCACTTCATAGTTGGCAGCGGGTCCACTTCTGATAGACGAGTCATACTGATTTCTTCCTGTTGCTCTTGCTGCCTCCACTCGCTCACGATAGAGGTGGACATTATATTGGTAGTCGTCGTTGATGAGCTGCCTGACAACTCGACTTCCAAGAAAACCTCAGAGGAAGCAGGCAGGGATGTGAGCAGTTCCAGGGACCCATAGTCCATAGTGTTCCAGGACAGTGAAGAGGATCTGAGTGCGTGCAAGATGAAAATGGATACAGCAGAGTGTTATCCACTGACCACACTCACACCAACACACACACAAAACTCTTAGTTCATGGGGGGATTATAATGCGATAAAGTAGTATTCAACAAATGTAATTGTTTTCTTCAATGAGATCACAGTGCATGAACAGTAATAGCATGCTTACAACAGTCCGAGGTCTCTCTAAGTCTCAAAGCTTTTTGTTTTATCAAAACAAGAGGTGGAAACTGGTGTTGCCAGGCCTCAAGGCAAAGGATACTGCAGCTCAATACAATATGTCGAAACACTCTCTCAAAACTCTCCAAATCATCCCAAGCACAGCTCAGATCAACTCAAATCTCTAACACACACAATACACAACTCAAAGCTTCGTGCTCTAAGCAAAACCAATCACAAACACGTCCACAAGTGCCAAAGAGCACAGATCTCTGTTCACAAGCTTCCAAACTGATCGTAGACCCACAGGATTCAAACCTATGTGATCCAGAGACACAATAACACAATAAAACTCCATCCGACAGACCAAAGGGTTTGAACCTCTGCCAATCTGTGGAAATAACATAAAAGCGCACACTAATCAAGCCAAAGGGTTTGAACCTCTGTCACCTGTAGCACTGCATGTCACAAATACCTCAGAAACTCAAGATGATGCCCTTCAGATACTGCTCTCTTATTCTCAGGTTAGAGCGCAATTCAAACCTCTTATCAAACTGGGCTTAAGTCCTTCGCGAGCTTCGATGCCTCGCTTAGTTCTCATAGCTCTCTCAAGGGTATTCAATAATAAGTTTATTCTCTTGCCTGAAGTTACAAACACAAACCCAGAGCTAGAGTGCAAGGCTTTCTGTGCCCAATACACCGCAACTGAGGGGGTCAGAAACTTGCTTTTCTACTCATACAATACCGTATTTAAATACTCTACTATGGTACTTACTAATACAATCCTACTATGGTATTCTCAAAGCACGGGACTCCATGCTGGATCCCGCAGGTACTATTTGCATGTGTATCGCAGTTGCCACACTTATTCGCTTCTGGGCCAGAACTGCATAAGGTTTCCTTGCTTAGCTAACCTCAGCTAGCTGGCCTAGCCCAGTCTGCTCACTTTCTTCTTGCCTTGGTGACATATCTCTGACAGTGGTAGACTGTTCTGGACCCCCGGAGTTATCTCCCATGTCTGGAGTCAGCCACAATAGTTATGTTCTCTTTTCTAGTGTCTCAACATTCTCTCTGGCACATGAAATGCACCACTTCTGGCTTGGCATGTATTAATTAACTTTCTCAATATAGTATATGTCATACCATGGTATGATGCGGAGTCCCTCACTGTGTTAAGCATGCTAAAGCACCATTAGTATGTGTGCGAGTCTCTGAGCAGCACATGTGCTATTCATCTCTGAGCATAATATTTCTCTACCTATCCCCTTGTTGCCATCATTGTGTCTCTCTGTTCAGCACCCAGTTATTCAGATACCTTTCTTAGGGTCCTGGATCTCTGTTCTCAAGCATGTTCCATCAGTGCATCATTGATCAATGTGATCAGGATTACCAATCATATTTCGATCATATTCTTTTTATTTTTAGCATATCCTCTCATGATAGTATTGGCACATTTAGGGCCAAGTGCTGAGACCTCACATGCAGCCTAACCCCTCTGGTATTAGTCTGTTACTAGGCCATGCACTCTGCTTATTGTTACTTCAGTTTAGCATTATGATAGCTAGGTTTCTGTGTGCTCTAGTCCTATTTTCTGTTACATGCTTACTGGACTGAAATGCAGTCCATGTATTTGCAATTTTCACAATTTTACATGCCTGAACATGGAGAGGGCATGTCAATGGACTCGTCACTCCCGAAGTTAGTGTCGTTGCTGGGGGTGTGAGAGGAAGGGGGATACTCGGGGGTCGGGGCCCTTGGGTATTGTCGGGTCCAGGTGCCATCTGCCCAGTGTTCCAGGAATCCACTGCTTGGGGTGCTAGGCTCTCTGAAGATGGGGGAAGGAGGGGGAGCTGGGTTAGTCTGGGCAGGTGCAAGGATGGTGGCGATCTCAGGGTGTAGCCTGTACCAGTTGCCAGTGTCGATTGCTTCAAATCTAGCCCTCTCCACTTCTCTCTGCTCGTTCCAGTGCTGCTCGTCATACTGTGCAGCCTCCTGTTACTGCTGCTCTTCTGACTCCTGACATACTGACTGTGGCTCATCCCTTCTTCTTCACTCCTCCTGTCGAATGGTGTCATCATAGTTAAAGGGGATGGTGAAGTTCCAGGTCAGGAAGTATTGATGTATGGTTTCTTCCCATACTTGTCATTGTTGTTCTTCATCATTTGAAGGGAGTCTCCCCATTCTCAAGCTGGCTCAGGAGGTAGGGCAGAGGCTGTGAGGCTGGCTTCGAGGAGTTCAGAATCAGGATCGTCGAGCCATCTGAAGGGCATCGAGAGAGTCCCTGGCATGGTCAGCAATCCCATGGGTGTGGGAGATGGAATCAGGGGAGGGGGACTGCTGAAAGAAGTCTTCTAGAAGGTCTTTATCCTCATGGTTGGGGGGTGGGCCTCGTATGAGTATACTGTCCCTGCTTGGGACGCCAAGGTTTGTGTCTCTGGATTGGGAGGGCTGCTGCCCTCTCATTTCTTCTTGACCATCCCTCAGATGCATGCTGCTAGGCCTGGCTTCTGGGGGCTGGTAGGTTGTTCTTCGGGAGTCAGGGATGTCATGTAGAGGGAGGTCAAGGGTTACATTTTGTAGGATTTCTCGAATACGTAAAAACTCGTTGTAGTGTCTAAGAGTCCAGGCGGTGATGGAATGGTGTCCCTGGCACAGCTGGATGATCACCAAAAGTCCTATCAGTGTTCCAATGATGGAAGAGAGGAGTTCAAAGAACTCATGATCGAAGTTTGGGTTGGTAGAGGTCATAAGGGGCATTCGGTTTCTCAGCACAATTGGGCTTGAGAAAGAGAAGACAAAGCTTCGAGCTAATTGTTAGACCCAAGTTGCATGTGACCAGTAACACATGATAAATGATCGATACCTCATGCTTGGATATAATGATCAAGTCCAGTGATACCAATACTTGGTGCTGTCAAGGCATAGGCAAGTAGGCTTGAGAATGAATGTGGTGTGAATAAACTTTAGCTCGAAGCTAGAGTATACCAGCGAGAGCCATGGTCCTTAAGTACTATACAGGTTGTGCTAATAATATGACTACTAATTGTATCATTCTGTATCCATGGTGCCCATCATCCTTGGGCATCGTTATTATATATAAAAGGATGCTTGTGTGTCATCAGGCATTGTTGTTGGGGTTGACTTGATGAGCGGGTTAGTTGTGCTGACTAAACCTTCTCATGGTCTCCTGCCTTCTGACTAAGCATAATAGTGGTAAAAAGAAAGAGAAAAGGGAAAAATTGTAACAGGTTGGTGGTCCAGGAAATGAATGAAAAGAGTTGTCATCTACAATGAGATTTCCCATGGATGCTGCTTCCTTTTATATGATTACTCCATTCAGATTGTAAATCTGAGCTTGATGGCTTTAAGATTGTCTTTGACAGGTTCTTTGCCACTCTCTTCAGCTTTGTCTGATGATGGTTGTCTGCCAAGGAGTCAGCTTCCTATGCCAGTCTATAGATTTTGGAATCCAGTGGGCTGAGTGGTTGTCTGAGATCAGAATCAGGAGAGCTGAGTTGCTGATGTTTGAACTAAGTGAGTTGAGTACAAATATCAACTTATTGTGGTTTGAAAGAAGAGTGCCATATAGACAGCACATTTTAGGACAATCAATGGAATTCATAGCATCAGTTGAATATCAAACTTGGACTTGTATTCTGGTAATTTGCTAAGTTAATCTTCTGGATGTCTCCTATTATAAGTAAGAATAGCATGTTTAGTGGTGGAATATTGTAAAATATCCTGCTGTTCCAAGTTTTCTGCACAAATATACTTTTATCCTATGCTTGATGCTAATCATTTATTGTCCCACCATAGGAACATTACTCTTTCCTTATACAACTCCTGATACTCCATTTCCCTACTGTATTGTATTTCTTCTTCTAGTGCTTCTTCATCTGTTTTATCATTTGCATGTTCTAGAAACTTTTTCAGCCTATAGAGCCCTTCCTTGTCATTCTCCTCACTCTCACTCTCATTATTCTTCTTGTCCTCACTGTTCTCATCAAGGAAGCTCTTAGGCTGATCATAGATAGATGGGACAGAGGCTTTGATAGTTGCTGATGAACTGGTCATCAATTCATGTACTTGATCTGGCTTCATTGTTGATGGTTTGAGGAGGAGACTAGTCATCAAGTCAGCCAGTGCCAACTTTGATGTCTTCTCAATAGCTATTATGCACTCTGTATTTCTCCAGTTCTCAGTGATAGATGTGAAAGTTTCTGTAATATCAAGAGTTAAAAAAGAGCACAGCAACTCTTCTCTCCAGGAGTCACTGGAGACTGGTCAGAGACATAAGCATTGCCAAAAACTCAAAGCCTATAGGTGTTGAGTACAGATTTAGCATGAAAAGAGATGATATCAGTATTAGCAATGCTGAAAGTTCTGGAAGGAGAAGGATATGTGGTGTGTCTCTAGGCAGACTGATGGTCAGATAGAGCAGGTCAATCAGAAGATCAAAAAGTATTTTTATATATTCATTAATTATCAACAAAATAACTGAGTGGAATGGCTTGCATTAGCTGCATTCTAATATAACAACCATGTATACTTCACTATAGAAAAGACTCCTTTTTTCATCAATTATGGTCACTATCTCAATATTGCATACACTAAATGGTTACACACTATCACACTGGCATTCTCTGACTTTGCTGCCACTATAACTAAAATTCATGATGAAACTTATCTTGCCTTCGAAAAAGCTACTACTATCATAAAATCACAGTATGACAAACACTGATATTCTGCTCACCAATATTCTATAAATGATAAAGTCTGGCTGAATATGACCAATCTTTATCTGCTCTGTCCAAAATGCAAATTATCTGACAAACACATCAGTCTCTTTCCAATTACTGCTGAAGTAGACCTCTCCACCTATAAACTCTGTCTCCTGATTGCTTAGTGCATCCATGATATATTCAATAAAACTCTTCTCATGCTATATGTCACACCTGCATTCTCAAATCAAAATCAACTCCTAGCACCTGAATCAGTGCTCATTGATAAAGAAGAACACTATAAAGTCAATCAAGTCCTCAATCACTGACTCTAAAAAGTATATATCTGAGATGGTGATTCCCAGATGACAGTTGATTACCTGCTCAGTTGAAAGGGTTACAGTCCTGAGTCTCATCAGTGGATCAATGAGCACTATATAAATGCTGCTGATGCCATCCACAACTATGAACTCTCTCTAAAATAATCTATTGGAACAATGATTTTAAGAGAAAGGTAATGTTACAATTTTTCTCCTTTTTTTCTTTTTTTCTCTCTTGCTTAACCTCTATTCATGCTTAGTCAGAGTGTCTAGACCAGTGTTTAGAACTATGAGACAGGCTTAGTCACTATAATAGGCCAAGTCCACCATTGTTCTCTGATGATAATAATGATTCTAATAATGGACAAATACTCTTTTGTAGATAGTAACAATGCTCAGAGACAAAGGCACTATAGTATAGGAACATACAATTAGTAGGTATATATTTAACTTAGACTCAAACAGTATATAAGTAGAATAGCTCTTGCTGTATATCCCCAGCTTTAAGCTAAAGTTTATCTTCACTATTCTACCTTGAGCCAACTTCTATTGGCCTTGAGATACAATATCACATAAGCACATTTAGTGAACTTAAGCATGACTATACAAACTTGACACAGCATCTATTTATTATGTGTTTAGATCATATATTGCTTAGGCTTAATAAGGCCAAGTTGCTGGAATATTCCTTGATGAGCAGAATACTGACTGACTCTGAGAGTATTATGCAGCAGTGGAGGCAGCAGAAGAAAGAGGCAAGTCAAGTGAAGGACTTATCTCTGAACTTGCCTCTCCTGTTGACCTCAGATCCAGCAACCAAGAACAGTTCATCTATGACACTGAGACTCTGGGCATCATCTATCTTAGACCTGCCTGATAACTCTCCTGTGAAGGACCATGAGGACAGCAGAGATGATGATCTAAATGTGGCACCTCTGGAGGTGCCCAAAGAGTATTATAAACTCAAAGACAAAGAACTACTCAAAGAAGAGATACAATATGAGAAGGAGCCAGAGTTCACAAGACTATACCAGAAGAGGGTTCTGGAACTTCCTTGGGATATGGACTGGAGAATGATGCTGTTAGAAAAGAAATATTTAATTGCAGATGATACTGAAAGAATAAACATTTTACAGTATGCTGTGACAGAACAGGCTATTTTTCTATATAACTAAGCTTATCCTGAAGACTCTCTGGCCAAACTCCTGGAATATCAATCCTGGTTCAACATCCAACCAATACCAAATATGCTGCCTGTCCCTCCAAAACAGGCTATATACTCAGCACTGACTATTCAAACTGCTGCCACAACCTCCACATGCCACTGGCAACCACAGACTCTGCATGCTGAGAATTCAACTCAATACTCTTGGAAGCTGAAGGAAAGCTGACTGATGGGAGGACAGCCTCCCACTGATAAAGCTAGGACTAGCAGACAGCCTGAAGAGAACAACCCTAAAGCCACCAAACAGAGATTCACCATTATCAATGGAAGAATCATCAGAAAGCCAGGGGAAAGAATCTTCAGAAGTCTGGTCACTTATGATGACTCTCTTCACTCCTTCCTCATGTCACACTAGAAAGTACCACTCTTTGATGACTACCTGAATCTAATGAGACCATTTGCTCCTGATTCAGTCCTTATACAATGCAAGCCAGACCTTATATGCAAGTTCTGACTTTTTAAGATGCAATCTGATGACATTGATCTCATCTTGATTGATTGCAAACAATACTTCAAAGTGTATTCTGCTTATTTGTCTGCTGACATTTATTGAGCCACTTTCACCATATCTTACTTTGAAGACAAGGCCAAAGTTTGGTGGACTTTAAAGAGTCAAGACCTTTATTCTATGATCAGAGGGCACCACTAACTGCTGGCCTGGCCAGTATTTAAACAGATGGTATGTGATAAGTTCATTGACCCAGCCATCCAGAAGATCCACAAATAGAAGATGAAGGATCTTCAAATGAGAGATCAGATGGCCACTGAATATTTCAATGAGTTTGAATGGCTTGCTAAACTGGTCAGACTCATTGACAATACCAAGGATGATGGATGCCTGATTGAATATTTGAAGAAAGGAGTTCTCTGCTTTTATGTCATAATGATCTCCAACATCAGTTTCAACATCCCAAAGGGATATGAAGAGTGGAAGGCATAGATCATTATGATGAACAAGGAGTGACACTGACAGAAGGCAGAAAATGCCTACTGGTAGGATGACCAAAGATTTGGCAATCAAGAGAAGGTTAATATGCCAATCTCTGCTAAGCCTAATACATCTGTCTTGACCTCCACACCCATCTATTTGACCCAGAAGACTGGTATGAGAGTCACCTATATCAGACAAGAGAAACTCATAGATATTGACTGATTAAGGAAGGAGGAGAAATGCTTCAATTGTAGAGAGAAAGGTCATCTATTCAGGAACTGTCTAAAGAAGAAACAAACATGTGAGGATATTCTGGCACAGATCACTGAGCTGCAGAAGGAAGCCAATGGGTTTGAGGAACTTGGAAAAGATATGAAGGTTGAAGAGGTAAAAGATGAGGCCAACAAGTGAGCAATTCCACTCAGTCAGCTAAAGGATTTAATAGTGTGTCTCAGAATACTGCTGGTTGAACTTATGCTAGCTCTGTAGGTACTTATTTATATGTGCATTTGAATATACCTGATTCTATTACTCTAAATACACCAAAAGAATCACAAGAA